GGCAGGTTAAGTACTTGATTTTTTCCCTTTATCCGTTTTCGGAAGAATGAGTTCTTTCCCCAGCATCCTGCAGAGGTGACCAATGCAGTTTTTTTTGTTTTTTGTTTTTTTTTTGGTATATTTATCAACTCATGAATTTTAATATGTTTAACATATATTACTCCATTGCACCACCAGCCATCTGTCAGTTTATCTTACTGTGTTGCTGACTTTACTGGCATGTGTGCTGCTATGTTGGAAGCTATGCCACTGGTATTTCAAATACCAGCAGGTTTACTCATGGTAGACAGGTTTCAGCAGATCTTCCAGATTAAGACAGACTAGGAAGAAAGGCCTGGCGGTCTGCTTGCAAAATTAGCCAATGAAAACCTAATGGATCACAACAGAACATTGTCTGACTCAATTGCTTTGAACACGTCATCAGGAGGAATCAGTTGCTGGAGGAGGACATCATGTTTAGTGAAGTGTAGAGGGCCAGTGAGGACACGGGAGACCCTCAGTGAGATGGATTGGTACAATATTCACAGTGATGAACTCAGACATGCTGGCAATTGTGAGTGTGACGCAGGACAGGACATTTCATTCTGTTAGTACATAAGATCGCCATGAGTCGGAGTTGACTCAATGGCAGCTAACAAATCCATTGCAGTAATCTTACTGATGCTCACTTGCAATCATTGGGAACCTCTTCAAGTTTTAACACTACCTTAGTACTGTTAGATAGCTTCCATATTTTCTAATATTTATAGATTTCTAGGATCATTTTCTGTGCCAGACATGGAGTCACTCATTTTCTAAGGAACCCTAGTTTCTTTTTGTAGGATATGGCATTCAGGGACCATAATCTGAGTGCTGTGTATACACACTGCTACCTAATTGGCCAGTGTCTGTAGGATTTTTTGACGGACAAAGGTAGGAATACTTATTTTTCCTTTTTTTTTTTTTTTGGAGAAAATAACATCATAAATTTCCATTGATAGTATTTTTAGTCTTCTTTTGTTCTGTTATCCATGAGTTATTTAGTAATGTTAAATTTCCAGGTTAGTTTTAGAGGTTTCTGTTGCTTTTAGTGTTTTGTTTTTTTTTTTAATTGCTAATTTCTGATATATTGTCATAAAAAAAATGTTGCCTACAAGATTTCTACTTTTTGGAAGATTTTTTATGATTTTTCTTCCTAGCTTAGTTTATAATGTGCTTCTGTTTTATTTGTAACTATTCCATGGGCATTTGAAAATTGTGTAGTTTTTTTTCTTTTCATATCTTTTTGGGTTTATTTTTTGAAAAGATATGGAACTTCTTTGTCTAATCAATCAGTTTTCTAAGACCTCATTTATTCTTTGTCTCTGTTATCTGTCATATTTTGAAACGTGTTTTAAAAGTTCCCATTATGATGCTCATGGATGGGCAGACTCAACATTGTGAAAATGACAATTCTACCCAAAGCAATTTACAAATACAACACAATCCGATCCAAATACCAACAACATTCTTCAAAGAAATGGAAAAACTAATCATTATCTTTATATGGAAAGGGAAGAAGCCCCGA